CTATGCCATGGGTTCATACATACCTAGGTAGGTACCTAGGGAGGCAGGTAAAGAAATTTGTCTGTTTTTATTATTCTTCCCAGCCAGACTTGCTTGCTCGTCTTGACGGGGTCTCGACCTTAATACCTAGGTAGGTACCTACTTACCTAGGTTAAGTCAGCCTCGAGGATTGACGCATTAGGGAGGTAAGGGAGAGAAAGTATAAGACGATGATGGCGTGAATTGTTGATGCTAGCTACCTTAGTAGGTAGGTAGGTAGGGAATTTCCATTAGTCTTATATGGTTCTGTGCTTCTTGGGACTTGGAAACAATGGACGATATCTAACGTCTCTCCGGGGGGGGGTTGGTTACCGAGCACCTAGATAAGTTTGGTTTAGGTTTAGGTACTTGGTTTATACGTGGGGATAGAGCCGAGCGGAAAAGCCGATGGGAAGAAGCTAAAGAGTTTTAATCGATGAGAAGAAGGAAGGTGAGTCCCTTCGACTCAGTAGTTTGTATATATCGGGTTTGCGGGATTGGTGGATGGGTGTGTAGCTTATGGAGTTTGTTTGCATGTGGTTCGATGGACCATGTGACAGCTACCTACCTACGGTAGGTAGGTAGGTAGATACGTAATTTATCTAGGGAGAGTGTCTATTAATAGTTACTCTTGTTCACGAAGGCTCCATTTACTTCGGGCCTTTATTCGTTTCTTGGGTAGGTGCCTAGGTAGGTAGGTATTCTTGGAATCTCAGAGAGACTTGGGATGATCGAATCCAGATAGGTTTTAGGGTAGGATAGTCAATAGCTAAAACAGCCGCCGATCCGTCTGTATCGAGTCCATTAGCTTCGTCATTTAGCATTGAGTCCTATCAGGTTTATGAGTAGTTTCCTGGGAGTACGGCCCCTTTATCTTAATTTACAACCGTGAGATGATACTATATAATCTTCCTTACCTTAAGCAAATGGATACCAGGAATAACCCCTATTTTAATAGCCAGTCGATAGAAGCTCTATGGAAAAAGATTCATAGCTACCGACGATAATCACAAAGACTAGTACGTGCTTAGGGAACCACCAATAAGCATGAACTAAATAAACACCTTAGTTATCGTCAATTGCTCTTAAGTTCAATATGGCATTATAACTTTCAGGTAAGCTAATACCTGCCTAAGCAGGTACTATATCACCTATCATACATACTCCTAGACTTGCCCCGGCTCTGCTATGGTAGGCTACGATGAGCTCAGATATCTTCTCAACCTATCCTAATATTCAACCCTACATAGGAATGTATGAAGTCCAAACGATACCACGAGAAAAATTATTGCTCTCCCCAGTCGTACTTTTAGGCCTAGGTATTCAAGGACTCCTATCAATCTCGTGATATAAACTTGTTGGTTTGCTAGTTGATAGGAGCTTGACTACTCTACTTGTGGTCGTGCTTCTATTATAGGTACAGACATCTAGTATCAGTGATAGCCTTTCATGCCTTAGTACTGAATTGACAGGCATTCTACGCAGAGAACTACGGTAGGGCGTGACGGCCTCGCATTGTATTATCAAGCTATTTCTATATTATCATGGTAGAAAACCTTCTCTGGGGAACTCGAACTTAATAATATAGCCGACACAGATACTTCCATGAAAGTATTCATCCGTATGTTGACTATGTGCCCCCCTTCCAAACCATAACAATACACAGACACGATGAAAGATTATGGTAAGTCTAGGCGAAGAGGATCAACATAGTTGGGATGATTCGCGCGCGATGATTTATCCTAGCATTACGTACGTACAATCACAATCACTTCTAGCCACGGCATTGTTTGCAGAGAGAATCACTGTCCCCTGTGTGTATTTCAGCCTTTCCAGGCGATACCTGCTTAAGTACAGACGAGCGGCCTGTGGGGTTTAATGACCAAGACCAAAGCCAGAACGATGATGCCGTATGACTCCCTAACGAAAGATGCAAATTCCGTAATGCACCCCTGTAACCTCCGTTTCATCCATTTCACTTTCCGATCATAATAGAGCAGAGTAAGTGTTCGATTGCCTGCCATACCGCAAAAAAGAGGTGGACGCTCAGAGCTAGACGCTTATCGAGAGGTATGCTCGTCCATCGCCTTCCAAAATCCTCCCGGATATGACATCGGCTGCCCTCAAGTGGGTTGGCGCTGCGTTGCGCTTATGAGCCAGGGTTGGGGTTCATCTGTCGAGGGTCAGTATGCGGATTCAAATATGCATATATATCGGGGTTGGAAAAAAAAAGATGCTCACCTTTCGCTTGCCACCAGTCAGGGTGACGTTGACGAAACGGCGAGTGTATGTGAGTCTCTTCTTGGCGCGGCCCTTAGGGGTCTTAGCCTTCTCTTGCTTCTCGACCTATTTTGATGTTGTTAGTTTCCTATACCATTTTATCGTTGATGATTATGTCCGGGGTTGATTCGTATTCGATGAAAGAAGCGCGCGCTCGAGATGGTGCGAGATGATTGTAGGTCCTTATCGGAAGGTTCGGCTGGAGACGATATTTTTCGACAAAGCGGGTGGCGAATTGTGCTTTGACCAGTTTGTAGCGAGTCGTCGAATATTCGAATGTTTGAATGTTTGTTTACGGTCGGCGACGCAAATGGTTCAAATCGAACGCGCGCTCTTTAATCGCGAGGATGGAATATTGGAGATATTTGGATGATGGATGATGGATGAACTAACCTTGGGGGTCTGAGACTTGACCTTTCCTGTAAGATATTATCAGCAAATTGTCCCATCTCCTATCATAAGTTGTTCATAAGTTGCATTGGAATTCCAATCGGAATGACGTACCGGCACGAGCGAGAGATCCGTGAACTTTTCCCATCTTGAAAGATTATTGCTGTAGAATTGGCTACAAAGTCGATGAAGTTGGGAAAGAGTGGAAGAAATGGGTCGATGTGGGCGGGTTTTTGCTGATGAATTCGCAAGTCTTGGCACTGGAGAAAGGATGTTGTGAAGGGTTTGGAAATCGGAAGAGTCACACCGAACAGACACTGGCTTCGTCAAAATTTCCACAAAGGGCTAAGTAAACCCTGGTCATGTGACTATGCTTTACCTGCATCTCCGAAAGCCCCGCAATGCCCACGTTAATAGCTTATTGCATAATCCGGATAAGGCAGATGTTCTACGGGTATTTATATTTATCGGTGCGCAGATTTTGGAGGGGCCTACAACCCCACCCCCTGTTAGTTGAAGATGCGTCCGTGCATAAGTCTACATACTACAGACATGTATCATATTGTCTTTCACAGTTTCCGTTTTTTTTTTAACTAAGGTAATTAGTTAAGATCAAAATAGTTATATATCTTTGAAGACAATAATAATTTTTGTATATGGTTAAGCTATCAACATATTGTCTCCTTTTTACTTTCAGATATAAGTCATATATCGACTACATCAGTTTATGTCCGTAACATCCGATACGTATCTAATTGTGACCTAGAGTTATCTAATCTAAGCGTGCTTATAGTTCAAGCGACTAATCCTATTAAGGTAAGCCCCAGACCCTCATGGCATGTTGAGTGACCCACTTGATGCATCATTTCACATGGGAGCGTTTAACTTCAAAGCGATCACCGGTCACCGGCCTCGTCCTCGTCCTCGTCCTCGTCTTCGTCTCGTTTGATGAGCTCTGGCAGACCGCTTAACGCCCTTTAAACAGACCAGCTTGAGAATGTAACTTCTGCTCTAATCCTTCATCGCTTGTAAACTTGGAATTTATAAGCTCAAGCTTGCCCCTTTCCCTTTACTCTCTGACATCTTACCCCGTTCCTCACACGGTCCCCTACGCATTTACACGCCGTGTCGCAATGAGGTTCCTACGTAGTTTACCCTTCGTCTCTCTGGCTGCGCGCTCCTGTGTGGCGGAATCTACCCCGGAGCCGCAGTACATCTTCAGCAATCCAGCCATTTCGGAATCAAGTTATCGGATTCCAACTTCATATGAGTCCGCCGTGCTAGGTCGGCGCATTCTAGCTCTTACTCCGCTCGGCACTCTCTCCACGGTGTTCCCAGACTCGTCCCGCCCACGCCAGCCCGATGGTCTCGCAGGCGTACCTTTGGGTTTGATGGAGTACGTAGCGGATTGCGAGGAAGAAGGCAACCCTACCTTCTTAGCTATTAAGATCGGGACTACCTTCAGGAATGTGGAAAGCGGCTCCAATATCAGTCTAGCTCAGGAATGGACACCTCCCTACCCACCAGACAAGCGCATCAAGTCCACCTTCTTCGACTGGTTGTTTGGACGCGACACAGACTCCAAAGATCGAGTGCCTTATAGTGCCGTTAATCTTCCGCGTTATAGCTTGCTAGGCTATATCGAGAAGATAGATGCAGCCGATGCTAAGGCATTGTCATCATGCTTCGTAGACACGCATCCCGACAGCAAGTACTGGCTCCCTGGCAATGAGATCCACGAGTCCGAGTTCGTGCGACTTGTCGTTACACAAATCTACTGGGTCGGCGGCTTTGGTGACAGAGCTTACATCGGCTGGATCCCCGTCGAAGAGTGGAAGAATGTCACTCGGAAGGAGTGGGAAAGTGTGAGACTACCTGGTGAGAAGAAGGGCTGGGACGAATGGAGTACTTCGGATCTTTGAGCGCCGGTTTCTCACATGCAGAATATGCCTGCGCAACTTCTGATTTCTATATTATCTGACCGTCACGTCTGTCTCATTTAGAAAAGACCAGTTTGGGATACGGGTTAAGTTGTTGATAGTACCTCGGCAGTGACTAGTCGCACGTCTATACGCATACATGAGTAAATAGCAAATAATGATGATACCGCCAACAAGTTACCGGTTGATGGGACCATAAGACTTTTTATAATCTGATTTTCCGTAACTGGGACTTATATATATTAGGTATGGGGTATATATATATAACCAGGAGGGTGTCTTTATAAGTGGGCGTATACTAGTGTTACCACTAGTACAAAACGTCAAAAAGGCCACCGAAGGTGAGAAAAGAAAAAGAAAAAAAAAATCTTTTGACAAGAGTGGGACTTGAACCCACGCGGATTGCTCCATGAGGATATAGGAATTCTAGAATTCTTATGAATTAAGGTGACCTTAACCTCACGCCATAACCAACTCGGCCATCTTGCCGTGATTTCTTGGCTTCTTAAACTTGGCCAAGTATTATAAGCAGTCTGTGTTTTTGGACATCTGCAAGTTAGGCCATACACTATGGAGCAAATGTATAGTTCGACAAAGATTAACTACCTGGTAGGTAGGTGTAATAAGAAACGAACACATCATTCAAAGAGACTTTCAGAATTTGTATGGATCTATTTGTATTAAACACCCACCTGCGTCTTTCTATCTAGGTACCAGTAGAAGTAGACTTATACCTACCCGGACGACTAGAAGATCTAATGAATAGAACTAACTACTAAAGCTCATGTAACGAGTAGTTATGCTATGCTACGCTACTACCTATATTATATCAAATTAGCCCAAGTCCGGGATTGGGAATACTTATCGATGAAGCTTCGGTAGATCCCCCCAACAAGGTGATGATGATCATCATGTCCTGTGACTGTCGATCTACTCGCTTTTATCACTCTCTTCACTCGTATATTCCTCGATATACTCGTCGTTAGGGGGGCTTACCTGAGTCCCGTAGCCATGCGCGTCGAGCAATTCCTCCAGGTACTTAAAAATGGACTGCAAGCCCTCGTACCCCTGGATCGAGTCGACCATAGACTGGCGAACGCCCGCGACGGCGTTCTTTAACGCCTCGTCCTTAGCGTGCGGGTTGTCGTCGCCGAACATGGTCTCGTCGACGGCTTTGAACGCGGCGTCCGCCACGGCCCTGAAGAACGTGACGGCCCACTCGCTGCCGAGCACGAGCTCGACCTGCTGGAACAGCACGTCCAGGTGGATGCGGTGCCGCCATTTCCACACGATGGGCTGCAGGTCGACCCACGTCCGGGGATCGGTAAACGCGCCCGAGATGTTGAGGTCGTTGATTAGCGCCTCGAACATCTCCGTCGTAAACATGTCCTCCCGCGCGTCGTACACCGCCCGAAGGGCGTCGGAGATCCCGGCCTTGTCGGAGAGCTGACACCGCGTGCACTCGTACTCGACGTCCTTCCACGCGTCGTCGTAGAACCCCATAGGACTGAAGAAGTACAACACGAGGTCGGGAAGATGCTCATCTACGACCATAGTACCACAAATATCGCAGACTCTAGGCAGAGCTACGTTCATCTCAGCTAGGTTAAAGCCGGAGTCTTCCATAATGATGACGAAACGCTGTGATGATCTAAGAGGGTTCGAAAAGAGGTAGTGGTTTTATAAAGTACCTAGCCACCGAGATTTATGATAAGTTCTAAGCTCGAGCTTATGCGCAAATACGATGGGTGTAGAATATTCCATAAGGTGCTAAATATATACTCAACCCTAACTTAACAATGTCTTCTTGCCGATGAGTAGGGTGACTTTGTCCTCCTGAGGGTTGCATATATATCAAGATCATTGTTCGTTGGTGAACAATGTTGAAAACGAATGGCATGGACTATCGTAGAATTGGACTATCTTTGCGTAGATGCTGGATCGGCAATTAGCTACCTAGGTAGACAATTTCGTTGTATTTACCAGTCATTTTATCATCGCCATTGTTTCTCTTAGATGGCAAAGGAAAAGGTGTGCTTGCGCCAAGTCTGGCCAATCAAAGACTTCTTTGAAACCAATTTAGGGAATATTCGCCCAAGCAGTTCTTCTCTATTGTTAAGATACATTCACTTCGCTTATCACCCGGTGAAGGCTATAGAATCTAAGATCTCCTTAATTCCAATTGCTGAACAATTCATACAATCATTTCATTTGTAAGTATTGGATGATGGTGAGTTGCAATATTCCTAGCTGCAAGTGCAGCTACGCAGGATAACAACCTACCTAGCTAATATCGCGGCTCCTAATATATCCTTGATAATTATTTCTATTTCATATTCATATGATACATGTAGACTTGGGCACACATCAATATCTCTCTTTACCGAGATCCAGCTAATCTCCACGCCCTTAGTGGTAGACTTTGTAATACCAAAACTCTCTTCCTGATGTAAAAAGCGAAAGTCAACACCCCCACGACGACACAGAGGACGTTTACAATATAGAATCCATCATGTAGGATTTCACATGTACCGCCGCCGTGCTCACATCTTTCCCTCTCGGCTTGAACGGCGCAGGAAAACTCCTGTGTTACAAGCGGCCCCCTGAGCGTTGAGCTGTCAAGCTTCTCCGTCGGGGGATGACATGTAGCCTGTGTGAAGGTATCTACCAGGCGCAGGACGAAATATCTAGGGAATGTGCCGCCCAGATTGGAAACCCTAGAATTAATTGTTAGCTAAGGCCGACTGTGATACAGAACATAGGACTTACGTAGCAAGCAAGGTCATATAAGTCCCGCCGATTACGGGGTCGGCGACCCGAGCGTGGAATGCGGAAACAGCGACAAACATGACGGTTGAAGTGAACGTCGAAAAGACGTGCTCGCCAATGACGAGAAGAAGATACCAAGGCTGGACACCGCCAGCTGGGAAAACACTAACAGTGACCTGAGCAAAGATAGCAGCGATCAGACGCCCCACGAAGCCCCAGCACCAGAGGCGCATTGGTGTATATGCCTGAGACCACTTGCCAGCATAATAACCTAGACCTATCTCGAAAGGAAAGTCGATGAGGACAGTCAATGCCAGATTTTCTTTCCCAAATCCTTTCTCTAGCAACTTGAGGTTCGTCACCGCATCGTTAGCTTGAAATCCGATTTTCGAGATGAGATGGACAATGATTATGGTCTGGATATTTCGTAGCTTCAAGACATCCCACATAATCTTGTATACATCCCAAATACCGTCTTCGTTCCTTGTCTTTTCTTCCTTCTTGAGAAGCGCTAATCCAATGGTGATTGCGATGTAAGCCCAGCCCCAGAAGGTTAAGTAGCCTCCAAGGCTTAGAAGGCCCTCCTCTGAAGGTACGGAGCGGAAATAGCGATTGGCAAAGTCGCTAGAATTAAAGGCTAAGAATACGGTGTATGAAAGGAACTGGCCGGCTGTTAGACCGACCGTCTGTGCCGTCGAAGCGTAAGAAACATTTCCCGGTGTCAGCAAAGTGAGCGCCCACCCGTCAACGGCGATATCCTGAGTAGCGCACATGAAGACGAGGAAGAACCACCAACCCGTGAAGTTCCAGATGCTCGGTCCGCCTGGCTTACCCGTCGTGGCCATTAAATCTTCGATCATAGACCCAAGGTACAGCATACTAAACCCAGATATTAATTGGATTGGGAGAATCCAGCTTTTCCTCCTTCCAACTTTGGGACTCCATACCGCATCTACTATTGGACTCCAGAATAGTTTTAACGAATAGGGATATGACGCCAAGCTAAAGACACCGATTTCTCCAAACGAGAGATGCTCTTTGAGTAGGAAAGGTACCGATCCACTCGCAAGACCCATAGGCACACCTTGTAAGAAGTATAGCAACACGAGTAGCATAAAATTCCTCTGATCTTGTAAGGGAAGTTCCCAGAATCCATGATTGTTCACCGATGGTGTTTTTGGAATGTTATCGTCGAGGGAGAATGATTCCCGTCCTATGAGATTTGCCGTGACTTGGCCTGACTCTTGCGGCGCGGCAGTCTTGCGCCGCAGCTCCATATTATTCATGTCGCCGTTCGAGTGACCATTCGCGCGGCCACTCGTCGAGACTGACAGCTTGTCTCGTTTCTGAGATTTCGACCGTCGAGTTTCGACACCCATTCGTACTTTAGCGCGGGGTAGTGGAAGTGTTTGGCGTTGCTTTTAAAGCTGGTGTTTGTGTACTTGTCTCAAATCTCTGTAGTGACGCAATAGGGCGGTAAATTGCTAATAGTAATAGTAATACTAATAGTGATAGTGATAGTAGCAGTAGTTAGTATAAGTGTCGTTAGACTCGTGTATGTAAATATGCTAATTATATGGTTCTTGTATATGATTTGTGGAAAGTGTTTGGTCTGTTGAATAAGTCAACAATAGAAATAAAATAGAAACCGTGGCCTTTCTTTGGGATCGCGCTGGAACGTGGCAAAGTGGACCCTGGAATAAAAGAAGAATATAAGACGAGAGTAACGAGTGGTTAGAATGATGGTAGAAGTTGAGAAACCTCCAAAACCCCAGGTACGATTATTCCCCCGTCTTAATCCATCATGGCTAAATGTGTCTCGGAGCACAGATGCAGGGAAATATGTGGACGTGTCCAAATGAAGCTGAAGCTTTCAGCTTTGACCCAATGGAGTGGAAAAGAAAAGCAAAACCCTGGTCTGAACGACCTGAATGACTAATCATGACAGCCTGGAATGCCCCACTCTGATCTAGATCTCCCCACTTCAGTCTTCACCTGCCTTATCTTCTTATCTTATCGCAGTCCCCATTTACTAAATACGCGTCGTCGCGTCTTTCGTTGAATTGTCAAATCAACAGTAAAGCCGAGGATCTATCTATAACGGCACCACATTCGATATGATAAATGACGATGGCTTCCGATGAACCCCAATCGCAAGAACTGTCTGTTGCAGAGAAGTTGGATAATGAGATTGCAACGTTGAGAGCTCAAGGTGACTATTCCCAGATTATTGTCTAGGTTGTAATATATACGATATATGAAGCTAGTACTAATATCTCATAGTGGAATCACTGAAGCGAGATCTCAAGTTGCAAACTGCCACCCTGATAACATCAGATTCGACGCTTGAGCTATTGAAGGCCGATTCTACGAAGAAATCAGGCATAAAAAAGCCAAACGATAGCTCTAGGTTGCAGGAGTTGTTGACAAGAGCTGACGAGCAAAACGCTCACAAGCAACAATGTCTCTACAGAACATGTGCTTCTATCACAACATTTAAAGTACGCGACCCGGATCCTAATGCCGTAGATGGGGGTAACGTTTTGGGTTTGCGATTCGAAGTCATGTCCAAGTCCCGGTTTCTTCGACCCTACTATGTCATGCTAAACCGGCCTTACCCAAACTCAAGGTTTCTGCGCGTACACCGGCATACCGTGCCTCAGTGTATACCGCTTTCTGGTCTGGCGGCTCGGCATCTTCCCCCGCCGGTGGCCAAGGAT